TATTAGCTCACTAGACTTCTGGTAGAATGATTAGATCATTTTTGCACCTATCTAATAGATACAACAAAATGTTTTCAATAAGAGAAGTTTAAAGTTAGAGTTTTACACACCTTATGGGCACCTGAGGACTTTGCAGAGCTGTTCTCAGCATTTTGCCTTTTTGTTGCACTGTGTTGTTGTATTAATGTTTATATTTATATAGAGTTGATATATTTTTTACGTTTATATGCCAAAATAGTAAACATGTTTTTGCGGCATTTCATGTATTTATGTGTATCAGTTCTGGCATGTACACCTTTCATGCATTTTAGATCCCCCAGGTTGAGGGATGTTGTGCATGTGTTCTGAGTGGATAGTCGGGGCCGAATGCACTGAGGATGGTGTGACCGAGGCCTTAGACAGCTTTAGTGGAGGGGTAGAAACGCTGATTGTATTGTGCTACATGACCTGGGTTAGTGTCACTGAGTACACCCACTGCTCTGTATCCTCTGCCACCCTCTAGTGCATGTTTTCTGAATGGCGGTCTTTGCTTGTCTTCTTACACTGTTTTCATTAGAAATAGAGAATGCGATCAATTTAATGGATTCCATCTTTTCATAGGAGCATCCCTTTCTAACTGTGACTGTCCTACAGGGGATTAAAACTGCCATGCCACCGCACTACCTCTCTAGTCTTTTATGGAATGGTAGTTTACCTTAGGGCATACTAATGGGTAGAGGGTGATAGGTTGAGGGCACTTGTGCTTCATCATACCAGTGTAAAGTTTAAAGCCCAACTCTGATTTTTTTTTTAAATGGCCCCCAGCCTGTAATAATTTGATAGATATGTAAATACAGCTTGCTTTCAGGTACGTTCAGTTAACATCTGTGATCAGTTTGAAAAGTTTCTTCTGAGCTACTTTAGCTTGCTTTTGATACTCTTCTGACCTTAAGGCTAAGTTCAGACCTCAGCGACACGAGGGGTGCGCGTCCCCGGGCAGTGCGATCGTGTGCTAGTGCACACAATGGTTGTCGCGTGTTCCCATTGATTTTTTTTGTGACACACGACGCGTGGCTTTTTAAGTGGCTTTGTGTTCAATTGCACAGGCAGAATCGTGGCGGGAAACCGTGCGATCCGCCCGGCGAAACTGGGGTGCCATTCGAAAAATATGGCCCCTCCAGAGCGATTGGCTGTGGTTGGCGACTCCGTGACCGCCCAGCAATTCGAGCGGTTTTGTCGCCCAGGTGTGAATCTAGCCTTTGTACAGGACCCCGCGGCTGGGTCCTGGAAGGACGCTATATTTCCCCTCTGTTTGGACTATGGTCACTTTAAAGGATGAGACGGGGTTAACTCACCTGCTGGAGGAAGAGTGGGTTTAAAAGACAGGAAGTGGTAGCTAGCAGGTGAGGAGTAGTGTGGAGGAGGTTGGAGAGTGGGGATCTGTGTACTGCTGTGAGCTTGAATGTCATTAATCTTGCTTGAAATCTGTAGACTGGGAAAGTTACCCTGGAAGTCTGGGACTGTTTAAACTGCGATTGCAGCTCTGAAATCTTCATGTCGATGAGACTGTTCTTTTGTGTTGTACTGAAGAGTTGCTGTTTGAGTTGGCCAGCTGGTCAGTGAAGATGACCTGTGTTGTTATGTTGCTGCTGTGAAGCTATTTCAGTTAATAAACTTTACTTTATTTGCAAAGCCTGTGTCCTGCGATCCTGCTGGATTCCCCTAACATTACACCTTAAAGTAGAAGTACCGTATGATTTGATTGATTTTCACTCAGCCTCATAGTTCCAGCCGACCTGTGACAATGAAACTGTCACAGGTCGGCTCTATAGATCGGGAAGTGAGCGAATGCATAACGTCGCTCACTCACTTTCTGATCATCTCCCTGCAGAGAGCGCTGACTGGCAGTCACCGCTCCCCGCAAGGATTTCCCTCCTACCCTCTCCGATCTTCCAGCGCTGACTGGAGGAATGGACCGGGAGGGGGCGGGCACAGCTGGCTCTGCCTCTAGATAGACAGAGCCAGTTGTCACTCATGCAGCTGGAGGGATCTCGACAGCATTGTCGAGATCCGTCCCGGCTGCAGCGCTCTCTGTATATAGCGGGCAATAGCCTGCTATATACTGAGCGTTGGGTCACGGGAGGAGGCTAGAATATGTCATCCTGTGACCCTTAAGAGAACTATGGGATTAAAAGGTGATCCCATAGTTCTCTTTTAAGCTGAATCAAGATGCTTTTGCATTCTTATTTACTTGCGGGAGATTCTCTAAGGTCCAGAGTTCTCATGCAATCTAAATCGAAACTGCAGTAGCTGACCCAGCATTACAAATCTATTCATGACATCTTACAGTCTCTTCTACCCCAGTGATCAGCCTGCAACATTGTAACTGTCACAAGGTTGTCACACGTCACAACTTATTGGGCCTGGTTCACACCTAGGAGTTTTTGAGCTGTAAGAAAAGCGCCTTTAAATGCCCAGCACAAGAAATCCCATGAGTTTCAATGTGTGTGTAAACGGATGGGTGTCTGTTTTCCACTGGTTACCCCTGACTCCGACCCGGTCTGGAAAACCAAATGGAACAGAGATACCGTTTGTTTTGCCGGACCTGATCATGCGGTATCGGGGGGTAATCTGATGTAAACGGACATGTGAACACATTTAGGAACTGCACAGGCACCAGGATTTATGTCATTTCTGGGCCAGTATTTTAATCCAGGAAGGGCTCTGTCCATCTGGAGAGAAGAGCAGATGAATGTATTGCCGGGGGATACTGTGATCTCTGTGAGAGGTGATAAATACCTGTAAGTGTTTAAATGACATACAACTGGGCAATTATTGCTTTGCTTTCATTCTTTTTATGTAAAGGTACAAATATAATAATTGGTTCACACCATCATTGATACCTAAGGTTGACATGGATTTATGTTGTATTTCGGGCAATCATGTTTTATTGTATAGCATTCAACTGCTCACCAATTTACACTACACCTTTGGTTTGCAGCAAAGCTCCTCCTGTCCAGTCAATCACATGTCAAATTATCTGGCACAGATGAACCCTTCCCCACATGGCCAGAGCCAGCAGAACTTTGACAAAGTTTTCAATAGGAGAAGCTTAATGTTAGGCCCTAAAAATACTATGAAAAAATATGCCCCCACCCCCCTAAAGTCCCATTAAAGGTGCCCATACACTGCACGATTATCGTACGATAATCGTATGCGATCGGTTTTTCGTACGATAATCGAGCAGTGTGAACGGAGACGTGCGACCGTTTCTACTGTACGGTCGCACGTCTTCTGTCGAACCAGCATGTTCGAAAACCAGCCGGGAATCGTACGATTCTCGGCTGGTTAGAACGGTACTCGGAAGATAAATGCTGAACGGGCCGGTGTGCGCACGCGCACACTGCCCGTTCAGCATTGCGGTCATCGGAAGCCCGCCCCTCAGGGGGGCGGGCTTGCGATGATCGAGAGTGCGATCTGCCTGTCCAAGATAGGCAGATCGTACGTTTTTTTAATCCCTTTACAACCATCGCAAGACTAAAGTCTTGCGATGGTTGTAGAGTGTATGGCCACCTTAACTTGTATGGCCCTGTTCACATCTGAGCGTTTTGTCGCAATCAGCAAAACCTGAGCTTTTTTTTGGCACATTACGTTTTAGCCCCATAGACTCAATAGGTAACGCTTGAAAATGCGCGTTTGCTGTGTTTTTGCGTGTTTTTACGCGTGTTTTATGTGCGTTTGCTCATTAACGATTATACAATACAATCTACTCACAAAAAGGCGTACTTTAATTTAAGCGCATAAAGCGCGCAAAAACGCACGGAACCATGCATCAAAAACACGCATAGAAACATTTATATGAGTGTTTTATGCGCTTAAATCAAATCACGCCTTTTTGTGAGCAGAATGTAGCTAATTGATGTTAATGAGCAAAGGCGCATAAAAAAAGCAAACGCGTGTTTTTAAGCGTATCCTGTTGAGTCTAAGGGGTCAAAATGAGCTGTAATATGCCAATGAGTATTGTGGTCACTGACACCAATGCTGGGGGTTATGATTGTGGTCACTGACACCAATGATGGGGGTTATTATTGTGGTCACTGACACCAATGCTGGGGGTTATGATTGTGGTCACTGACACCAATGCTGAGGGTGATTATTGTGGTCGCTGACACCAATGCTGGGGGTTATTATTGTGGTCATTGACACCAATGCTGGGGGGTTATTATTGCTACCACTGACACCAATGCTGGGGGGTTATTATTGCTACCACTGACACCAATGCTGGGGGTTATTTTTGCATCCACTGATGACTCTCTTAAAGCCTCATTCACACTGGGCTTACACATGCTTGCGGCATACACGCCCATAAGCAGGCAATCCCGGGAGAGACAGGTGCTGCATGTGATTGCACGCAGCAGCCTGTTCTTCCGCCTGGGAGGACGCGGCTGTACGCTGTCATCCGTGCAGGTATGGGTGTCCATACTTGGACACAGACAGGGTATAGGTGTCATATGACAGCTCACAGCCGCGTCCTACCATTGGGAAGAAAAGGCTGCTCCACGCAATCACACGCAGCACCTGTCCCTCCCCGTGATTGGCTGTTTACGTGCGTGCATGCCACAAGGACGTGTACACACAGTGTGAATGAGGCCTTAGTGTACATCGCTGTATGTTGCAAAAAATGCGACAGGACCCAAATTATCAGGCACTGTCCTGTGTTACAATGCTTATTTCCCTTGGTCTGGTTAAGGCACCACAATGCACCTTAACGCACGATAACATACTGGAAGTGTCTGGGTCTGCACTATAATGTTCACCACCACTGCTTCAAGAATGTATTACTGATTACAGAGCTGTTGCTGTATTTACAATGTGAAGAGAACACTGAGCCCCGGTATGAGTGTACACACCACAGACCAGCACACTGCCTGAACTGTGAGCGTGTTCAGTGTCAGTAAAGTTTAATGACGTCATCAGCCTGCGCCTCGTCCATGTGCATGTGTGTGTACAGGAAGGCAGAGAGAGCACAGGGAGATCATCATGGGGGAGCCAAGCACTCAGCAGGAGAAGAAGCCGCTGATCAATAGCAGGAATGACCCTGTGAAGAACTTCGAGAAGTGGAAGAAGAAATATACCAAGAAGAAGGAGAAGTGTAAGATCCAAAGGAAACAGAGCAAGAAGCCCGAATGGCAGACAGAGAAGGAGAGCATCAGCCGCCTGGTGCAGCGTTACAGCGAGGTAATCTGTGTGCACAGGAGGGATAAATCGCCTATCATAACCAAGAGACTGTCATCCGCATCGGTGTCTACAATTTCAGGATGAATGTCTGTAGAGAACCTGAAATGGCTCTGGTCCTCTTGAATAGTGTTAGTAATTTAAAAGAGAACTATGGGGTAACCTTTTTATCCCATAGCTCTCTTTAGGGTCACGGGAGGACATATACTAACGTCCTCCCTTGACCAAAGCTCAGTTTATAGCGGGCTATAGCTTGCTATATACTGAGAGCGCCACATCTAGGAGGGATCCCGACAATATCGAGATCCACCCCCCAGATATCAATGTCGAGATCCACCCCCAGTTGGCTGATAGCAGGCTCTGCCTATCTAGATGCAGAGCCAGCTGTGCCCACCACCTCCCTCGTCCATTCCTCAGCGCTGGAGGATCGGAGAGGGGATGGGTAATCCCTGTGGGAAGCGATGACTGACAGTCACCGGTCTTTGCAGGAAGATGATCGGGAAGTTAGCGAGCGACGGAATTTGTTCGCTCACTTCCCGATCAATAGAGCTGACGTGTGTCAGTTTCATTGTCACACTTCAACTCTAACTATGAGAATGAGTGAAAATCACTCACCTCATAGTTCTCCTTTAAATAACGCTTACCCATTTCTACCTTCTGTAATTATCTGGTATTGTTGATGCTGGGCAGAGGCTATTGCCTATCTCTTGTCTTAGGTCATTGGTTGCCCCTGATATCACTGAATACTGCCCACATTATAAATGATATATTCTGATACAGTAGATGAGAGACTGCGGTCATGTTGCAGGAGATGGGCGAAAACATACATGTTGCCCATTTTCACACCATTTTCCGGACCAGATCTGGTTTGGAAAATGGTGTGAACCTGCCCGCAGTTCCACTCCATTCCAGACAAAATGAGACAAGCAGTATTTTTCTAGTCTGGTCTGGAACCGACTGCGCTGGTGTGAACAGAAGCCAGAAATAGCATAGGGATACATTAGGATGCATTTTGGGTCCGGAAACAATCTGGTCTGGTCTGAAGATGATGTGGTGTGAATGGGCCCTTAGGAACAGATCTGTCTATATAAATGAGCAGCCCAGGTAATATTTGACATCTGTTATTTCACATTGTGAAGAGACAATCATACAGGGAAGCTCTGGGATGCGAGTGAGCAATCATGGCTCTTCCACCCAGGACCCCTGCTTGGGATTTGGCATTTTCCTGCCTCCTTCCATTGTGAAGCACTTTATGGCTGGGCTACTGTTTTTCTATATCTATTATATGTATTTTGAATGAAAGCATAACAAGATTCAATTAATTAACTTCCAGGAAATATCAGTATTAGGCTATGTAGGATACAAGTATAACATCTATTTCCTGCAATAGACCAATTATCACATTAGTCCTGGAAGACAGTGATGGGAAAGAAGGAATGATTTGTGTGTGAACATACATAGTCAATTGTCTTGTACAAAATCACAAATCTTTTCTTCTATAATCCATCAGATGAGCAAATCTAATAACCCCCATTAGCTTAAGTTTCAAGGCATTGGATATGAGTTTATATGCTAAAGAATGTTGTGGTCCGGTTATATGGAACATTATCTGTTATTGTACAGTATGTGATATTCTTTATCCACTAACACTGTCAGAAGGAAGCTGTTTACATTATGATACTAAGCATTTGTTGTTGTGGAACTGCTTATCTGTTTTGATTTGTTTAGAGCAGGTTCACTGTTTCATATCTCTGATACTAGAGTGGTAAAAAAACGAAATGCTCTTTATTGTCAATGCATTGCCTTGGAAACATTCTGATAATACCAAAAAAAGCTGAATCATTAACATGGATCAGTAACAGCTAACCGGTGATGCTGGAAAGGCTGTGACAACAGCCATTTATTTACAATGCCCATTTCCTTGTCAAAAGTGAAAAAAGCTTCATTTTTTTTTTTTTTAACAATATTTGAGGTTAATATTTTGTGTCAAAAGAAGATATGGAAGTTTTTCAGATTGTATAAAGTTTTGTTTTTGGATTTCTTTTAGATAAGCGCCAGTGAGATTAACAGATTCTCAGACTTTCCCCTGTCCAAAAAAACTATTCGTGGTGAGTACAGCTATATTTTTTCTGTTCTCTACAACTGCATTTTTCTATGTTAAAGAAGAACTCTTCTAAGTTCTGACAGTTCGGAACTAAAACCACTGGACCACAAATGGTGATTCACTTATTTTTCCATAATAAGCAACAACATAATTGAAAAAATATGATCATAATCATACATGTGAATAACAGTGGTGAAGAAATGTGCACCAAAATGCTTTTGCCAACCATTTACAAAACTGTGTAATTACAGAGAAGCAGCACTGGAGGAGGGGTGCATGTGAAAGATCAGCGTGTGTTTGTGCTGGAGAAGGGATTCAGGGGAAAGACCGATGTGTTTGCTGGAGGTGGGATCTCACTGGGAAAAGACGTGTGTGTGCGAGTGCATGCTGGAGGAGGGATCTCACTGGGGAAAGACCAATGTGCGTGTGTGCTGGCGGTGGGATCTCACTGGGGAAAGACCAATGTGCTTGCGTGCTGGAGGAGGGATCTCACTGGGGAAAGGCAAATGTGTGTGTGTGTGTGCTGAAGGTGGGATCTCACTGGGGAAAGACCAATGTGCGTGTGTGCTGGAGGTGGGATCTCACCAGGGAAAGACCAATGTGCGTGTGTGCTGGAGGTGGGATCTCACCAGGGAAAGACCAATGTGCGTGTGTGCTGGAGGTGGGATCTCACTGGGGAAAGACCAATGTGTGTGCTAGAGGTGGGATCTCACTGGGGAAAGACCAGTGTGTGTGTGTGTGTGTGGGTGTGTGTGTGTGTGCGCGCGCGCGCTGCAGGTGGGATCTCACTGGGGAAAGACCAGTGTGTGTGTGTGTGTGTGGGTGTGTGTGTGTGTGCGCGCGCGCGCTGCAGGTGGGATCTCACTGGGGAAAGACCAGTGTGTGTGTGTGTGTGTGGGTGTGTGTGTGTGTGCGCGCGCGCGCTGCAGGTGGGATCTCACTGGGGAAAGACCAGTGTGTGTGTGTGTGTGTGGGTGTGTGTGTGTGTGCGCGCGCGCGCTGCAGGTGGGATCTCACTGGGGAAAGACCAGTGTGTGTGTGTGTGTGTGGGTGTGTGTGTGTGTGCGCGCGCGCGCTGCAGGTGGGATCTCACTGGGGAAAGACCAGTGTGTGTGTGTGTGTGTGGGTGTGTGTGTGTGTGCGCGCGCGCGCTGCAGGTGGGATCTCACTGGGGAAAGACCAGTGTGTGTGTGTGTGTGTGGGTGTGTGTGTGTGTGCGCGCGCGCGCTGCAGGTGGGATCTCACTGGGGAAAGACCAGTGTGTGTGTGTGTGTGTGGGTGTGTGTGTGTGTGCGCGCGCGCGCTGCAGGTGGGATCTCACTGGGGAAAGACCAGTGTGTGTGTGTGTGTGTGGGTGTGTGTGTGTGTGCGCGCGCGCGCTGCAGGTGGGATCTCACTGGGGAAAGACCAGTGTGTGTGTGTGTGTGTGGGTGTGTGTGTGTGTGCGCGCGCGCGCTGCAGGTGGGATCTCACTGGGGAAAGACCAGTGTGTGTGTGTGTGTGTGGGTGTGTGTGTGTGTGCGCGCGCGCGCTGCAGGTGGGATCTCACTGGGGAAAGACCAGTGTGTGTGTGTGTGTGTGGGTGTGTGTGTGTGTGCGCGCGCGCGCTGCAGGTGGGATCTCACTGGGGAAAGACCAGTGTGTGTGTGTGTGTGTGGGTGTGTGTGTGTGTGCGCGCGCGCGCTGCAGGTGGGATCTCACTGGGGAAAGACCAGTGTGTGTGTGTGTGTGTGGGTGTGTGTGTGTGTGCGCGCGCGCGCTGCAGGTGGGATCTCACTGGGGAAAGACCAGTGTGTGTGTGTGTGTGTGTGTGCGCGCGCGCGCTGCAGGTGGGATCTCACTGGGGAAAGACCAGTGTGTGTGTGTGCTGGAGGTGGGATCTCACTGGGGAAAGACCAATGTGTGTGCTGGAGGCGGGATCTCACTGGGGAAAGACCAATGTGTGTGCTAGAGGTGGGATCTCACTGGGGAAAGACCAGTGTGTGTGTGTGTGTGTGTGTGTGCGCGCGCGCGCTGCAGGTGGGATCTCACTGGGGAAAGACCAGTGTGTGTGTGTGCTGGAGGTGGGATCTCACTGGGGAAAGACCAATGTGTGTGTGTGCTGGAGGTGGGATCTCACAAGACTCACAGTCACTCTGTACTGGCCTCTCGCTCCTTCTATTTTGAATCCAATGGCCGGTCCCTCCGCACAGCAACTGCTTGCCTCCCATTGGCTGCAGTCGCTTCCCTCTGTACTGTAACCTCACAGTGCCAGCCGGGTGGAGAGTGGTGCGCTCAGTGATTGGGAATAATACACAGCCCTGGGGCTGAAGGTTTACATTGTGAGAAGAGGGAGGCGGAGCGGAGGGGCCCCAGTCTGGGACACAGCGGGTTTATGGATGGCCGATCCAAACGCAGCATGTGGACCCGGCAAGTTTATGTGTAGGGTGTTCGGGGGAACAAGCAGGCTGCTACAAGTGATCTTGGCGGCTAGATGTAGGGTAATAGCCACCTGCCTGGCACCCAGAATGGCTTGTCCTGGGTGTCGGGCAATAGGAATTATGCACTCCTGAAATTATATTATATATAGGACCATCAGCAGACAAACGGCAAGAGCTACAAAATACCCATTCAAGAACACAGTTGATGCAGTGATGTTACATAGTATTTGAGGTTGAATAAAGACACAGGTCCATCAAATTCAACCTTATGTGTAAGTGTGTGTGGTGTGCGTGCGTATGTGTATGTGAGTCCATGTGTGGTCCTAGGTTTTAAGAGCACATGTACCCTTGTATGATACGGTCTCTGAGGAAGGTATCTAATTGATTTTTGAATGATTCAATACTCTGCTGATACCACTGCTTGTTTTTTTTGTATCTTTCATTAACCCCTTCCCATCCGGCGGTTGTTATTAAATGGCCGGATGGGCCAATCTTGAATGCGGGTGGGCATTTTTAAGCTTCCGTTCCCGCTCGTGGGTATTATATCACTTCTCCAGCTGCTGTAGTCAGAAAAGGAGCTGGTGAAGCAGATCTCTGCTTCTTCAGCTTCTTTGGGGGGTCCTTAGGTTGCATTAGGGGTCTAATAGACCCTGATATCTCCATAAAGAGGACCCGTCAGTGTATGTGTGCGATCACATAGGGGGCTTAAGTGTAAAAAAAAAAAGAGTTGCATATTAAAATTAACACTCAAACAAATTGTAGAAAGTTCCCCGTCTCCACATACATGCATAACATACTGTATATGTTTTATAACA